CACTTTACACTTATGAAAACAAAAATAGGATATATATGACCCAAGCTTTGAACTGGATTTCTTTCTTTCTACTGTAGGTGATGCTATTTGTGTAGGTGATGCTATTTGTATCCTATATTATTTGTCTGTAGCTTGCCACATTTTAAAGGGACTCACAAAAATATAATAATAGAATAAAAGCTTCCCTTTTAATGGAGCTGTATGAAAACAAGGGTAGGAAAAACAGTGAATTCAGCAGCCAAAGGTCCTATGCTCTTGCTAGAAGCAAACTGTAGATCTAGCTCTGAGCACTTTGTCAACAAAGTAAGGAATGCAACATCAGAAGATTAATGATGTCCAGAAGAGAAAAGCAAGCTGGTTCTTAGGAAAACAGGTTTTCCAGAATGGAGACAGGAGAGAACTGTCTCAGAACTGTCTCCCTGAAAAAGCGACCACCGTAGGTAATACAAGAATGGGCTGAACAACAGTGGGCTTTTATTTGACTGCCTCATGCTGGTCATTTCCATGGCATTGGCTTTCATTAATGCAAATGAACAAACAAAGTTCTATGTGGATTAAAAAAAAAAAATCAGTCTACATTTTATCTAAAGATAAAATGGCTTGTAGTCAAGCCAAACTGTCTGAAGAAATAGTGGTTTGAAGGACATACCCTTCAGTTCCCTAACTACTTTCTGCCCTGGACCCTGGGGGCCTATTCTCAGCATAGCAGCCAGAATGAACCTGTTAAAAAGTAAAACAGATCACACCATTCCTCTGCTCAAAATCCTCCAATATCCGCATTTCACACAGAGTAAAAGTCAAAGTCCTTGAAGGGCCTAAAGGAAGGCAACCCATTTCCTTCTGGATCTGATGTCCTCCCCCACTCCTGACATTACTCTCCCTTCAACCTGGCTGCCCTCCTCAGTGATCCATCCCCGCCGGTACAGGCAAGCTCCTGTGCAGGGGTCCTTCCTGGACACGCTGCTCTCTGTCTGGAGGGCTCTTCCCCACGTGGCCACAGGATTTACTCCCCCACCTCCTGGAGGTGTTTCCTTAATGCAGTCGTCTAGCAAGACCTGCCCCTGCTACTCTACCCCAAATGCAAGCCCCCGCCTTCTCCATCCCCCTAACTCTTATTCTTCATGCCCACTTTCCTTCTCTCCTCAGCACGAAGAAG